CTCCATCCGCCAAGAAGATTCATCTACAGCGGTCACCGAACATACTATTCGACCCTCCTGCGTACTAGCACCACTTCTTTTTCGGTTACCCTGACACCTCTCTACAGCGCATCGGCTACGGGATTTGCTTTCCCTTTGACATCTTCGAATTTTACTCGAGACTCTTATACTTCCAGTGCACATCTTAATACTCGACTTGAGACATTGATCCTCTCAAAAAGTCTGTGAGAGGCAAGTGATCTGTTCAAGTTATCACTTCCATTCCATACACAAAGAAATGAAACTTTTTTAGAGCAAACACAACTGCCAGAGTATCTGAGACGTGGTACAGGGTCAACCGTTACGTTGGACCGATATTGGAGCGACGTTGGACCGATGTTCACCGCTCTCCGCGCCGGCATTCACTCTCGCCACCCGCGAGCCGTCTGTGTCTCCGTGCGTACGTTCACTCTCGGCATTACTCTCGTCGTCGCGTTGGACTTTGTCCAACGGACGGTTGACCCTGCTGGACCTTCGCTCGGCTTTGGTAAGGCTCTTCGATGCAAAGTAAAAGGTTTGGGGGAATCCGTCCTTTTCTTCTTGACACAGCACGGCTCCAACAACTTGGGATGCAGCAGTATATGTGCAGTGCGTTGCAAAATCATAGGACACCCCCCAAAAATATGAATATCTCGGCTTCTAGGAAAAAGCCGTCTATCGCAACTGGTAGAATCAGAACCGCATAAAAAACAAGAAGCCAGATCATCCGAATAGTTTGCATATTTAGACAATTTTTTTAGTTTTGTAGTCGTTGCAAAATCATAGGACACCCCTCGGAAGTCTCCTTACAGTTGAATTTTTTATCCATCCAGCAACGATGGTAGCACTTGTCCGGTGTATGGTAATTCTATTAGAGTTACGGTTTGAGTGCTCCCTTTCCCTCCGCGAGTGAAAGCCAGACTTTCTTTTTATACGCGCCTGATGGCTCTACCATGAGCATCGAAGCCATTTTTAGGAGCTCAAAGAAAACCATAGCTTGGTGCTCCAAATTCTCACTACGAATAGAAATAAGAGTGCACCAGGATTTTGGCACTTTAAGAACATCAACACCGCGCCCTTTTGTCGCCATGCAGCAATTTCTGCGCTATTTGGCCGACAGAGAGGATCCTTGTTTGGTAGGAGCTGTGTTTTCTACAGTCGCGAGCCAGGTTGCCTTCTTCGTGACATTTGTAGCACATTGACCCTTTACTGTTCTGCGTGCTTTTACGTTCTTCTCCGGATTGACCGCAACTGTTTTAATGTGAAAAAGCTTTCTCTCATCCAGATCAGGCTCTCCGACCTGCTTCAAAGTCAGATTACGGCACTCTCTCCTCTTGGCCACCTCCTTCAGTATCTAGTATGCGTATTCTTAGCATTCTAGAGCCTCTAAGAGATAGCAAGGATCACGACGTCACAACCAGTTTATCATAAGCAAATGTGCTCGGCTTCACTGCTTATGTGTGTCATCCAACCCACGTGACCGTCTGCAACGTCAGTTTGCTTCATCTGCCACACAGAAGGCTCCGAACATCCGCTCTGTCCTGATTTTTCCATAGGTCCGTCAGTTCTCCTAGACGCCACTTATTTGTGAGGCTGTTCTGCCATGCATTCGCGCTTCCTGACCGCAAGTAATTCAGCACCCCTTTCGCTCCTCCATAGCTTGAGTAACTGATTCTCTGCTTTCCTACCACTTGAACGAAAGATAGCGCCGCCGCCAAACAGCATTCTGGCTAATTTTCACATGGGTCTACATCAAGTGCTTCAAGAACCTTGTAACTTTCTGCGACCTTGACCAGTAGCACGTCTGACCGCTCGGTACACTGTCATAACTCGCATTATAATTACGCTATCAGATCGGTCCACGCTGGGGGACTCCCTACTCTGTTAGTAAACCTTGCGGCTCAAACTCCCATTACTTCCATTCACTCTGCGCTCCCTCCACTCCTCCAAGGTGATATGCTCGACGTGACAGTCTCGACAGAGGGGTCGTATTAGGGTTGGGTCATGGGGCTCGTACTCGGGGTTTCAGTGGCTCAATTGGTGCAGATAGTAGTCAAGAGGGTGTAGCGCATAGAGAAAAAACATGATATAAGATATTCTTTGCAGGTTCAGTCGCTCGATTTCTCTACCTTTATGAGAAGGACGTACTTGAAAGCAGCACAAAGGATGACATTGCATCTCCGCAAGGAACGGGGCCATATGTGCACACGCGCTGAATAGGCTCCTCTAACCGCTTCTCATGTGATTATCTGTGTATTAGAACGCTTTTCGCCAAACGACAAATAAATGAAGAAAGGCAAAGCTTTTTAAAGGTAGTTACGAAATTTGTTTACTAGCAACACAAACGCTCAAAAGTACTGAAAACCTTCAAAATCATTAAGGTAAAAAGGTAACAGGGGTTCACGTATGGCATCATATCATATTGATTCCCTGTGCTAGTCAATAACCATGTCAATGTTCACGGCGCGTAATATCGCCTCACTTTCGGAAAAAATTTTTGGATGGAATTTTTTTCTTTGTTTCAAAAGTATGTGCACACTTGAAGGAGATCAGATCTTGGCCCCGAAATTTCCAACCGGTTCCGATCCGAATTTGCTGTTTTCATTTTGTCACCATCCATATTCGTGGCATACTTCTTCTTGTAGATGAACAAGCTCGGATCTCTACATGATAGTGAACGTCCCAAACGAGAAATCGCACATCATCTCGGTTGGTTTCTTCAATGTATTAAAGAACTCAACGTAGTCTTTAGCTGCTCAGATCAACAAAAGAGTAGCCTGATTCTGTCGAACACTTCATTATGTTTTTTGTCTTTTGTACTTATAGAAACACAGAAAAAAAATTCGGGAAGGATTTTATTATATCTAATATAGTTAAGTGTATTTATAAAAATAAGTTTATATGCTATAAATTCTCAATGGCTAATAATTATAAAAATGTTAATAAACTAGTTAAAGGAATACTCAATCAATAGCTTATGCTTAATTCAGTGGACAGCTACAAACATTTCCACCTTTTTAATTTCATAAAAGTTTTACATATACTTGTCAATTTATAATCATTTTAGTAAATATACAATTAATTTCATTGCATGCTCCTCTGCATGATAATTTTGTACGTCTACTCAAGGTTTATTCGTCTTTCCCCTGTGTCTTTATTTCGCCAATCCCAACTCACTGATGAGCTCCGGGGATTGACGAAATAATAAGGTTCGTCTGAGGAAGGAGCGAAACGAACCATTTTAATTATTTTGTTTATAATGGTTTTTCTTTTTAATTGGCGGCTCAGATTCAGGATAAGAGAATAGCCTGATTCTGTCGAAACCCTTCCTTATGTTTTGCCTTGTGACTTATCTTGAACAGCAAGCAAAAATTCTATCCTTCGGCTTTTTTCATAAAGTAGGGCGATATCATTTCCTAGTTCATCGTTTGGTTACACTCTCGAGAACCCTTGAGGATTTCATAGGACGAAGCTCTTAATTAGGCTGATGTCAGACTTTGCGAATCGCGCGACCCGCTAAGAATCGACCTTACCTTTTAAACATGAATTCTAAGGTCTCCATATACCGCTCGCTCATTTATACAAACGAACCGTTGACCCTACCCTCACGTTGCTCTTTCAACCACGTGTTTTTTCTTGTTCTAATAATTTTATTATGTGAGGAAGCACAATAATACCTTTAAAATGCACATTGATCAACACAACTCGATCTATTCAAGCTCTGAGTACATTCTAACGAAGTAGCTGGTCAATCCTGACATAGAGAACAATTAGGACAACATTCTAAAATGTCAACACATCCTGGACTGAGCATAGCAAAAAGACGCTAATGCCACATGATGCAAAACAAGCTAGCCATACTTACCACAGTTGGCATAGCGATTCAAACACTGTACACAAATAACAATGTTATATTAGGTGCAGGTTCGCTTAAAGCAAACCATTGCTGATTAATTAATTCTGAAATAAAAAGATGCAAACTTCCCAAACTATGCATAATGTAAAAAATATACAAGATGCAATAGTATACAATGTAAAAGCTGCGATGACCAGATAAACAGACAAATTAGATAGAACGAATTACTGTCGGCAGCGGCAACGAGATAGTCTTTCTTTGGTAACACGAAGTTCTTCCTTCAATTCCTTCAAGCACCTTCCGTCAGGCTTCCTCGCACGCTGCTTCTCCTTCATCCTGCATTGCTTGGGCCTGCAAGAAACACTGTAATGCCATAACTCATCCATGGTTAACAGACTTTTCAAAATGAACCCACCTTCGATCGACTCCTACGGACGGCATCATTGTTCCTTTGCCGTTTGACTTTGTACGAAATGTTGTTCCGCTCTTGCGGACTCTTTAGTCGATACTTGCGAGCTGTAGTAGTGGGCACATAAGGCTCCACAGACTGCACGCTTCGCGTAGACCTCTTTGACGAACGAGTTGATGAGTTGGATGGCTGACTGTCTGTAATTCATACACTTATTTAGACATTCAGACGGTTGTGGAAGACTTTAAAAAACATCACGCTGCGTCGCCAACAAATAAAACTCACTTCGCCCACTGCTGCTCTTTCTTTATTCTGCTAGTGCGGGCTGGTGCGTTGCAGTAGGCGTTGCCGAATCATATTACTTAAAGTTAAAAGACTAAAGAAGCGAGAGAATATAGAACTGATATGCAAACTTCAATAGAACTGGATTTATTTGTTTCACTGATCCTATGAGAATCCGCATGAGCGAAGATCATATGCATCGTAATTATGTGCACCTTTGCCTTCATTGTAAAGAATATTGCCACTTCTGCAGTTCCATGTCGTCCAAATCAAGATCATCCACGGGAACACCTGTCTAAAACAACACCTTTCTGAGCCGAATTCCGCAGCAACGGAAAAAAGTTTTAAAAAAATGGCAGATGACTTACCATATGTGTAATATCCTCCAAGTAACTGCATGTTCATTGTAGTTTCCAGGAAAACTTAGACCATCCTTCACGGGTCTCCTTCGCTCGCTGTCACTCTTGAAGGAGTAGCGCTCTCGCCAAGGAATCCTTAAAACACAAACTTGTACGTAAGTTTTCTCAAAAGTGAAACAGAGACTCGTAGCAAAATGAAGAAAGAGAATCGCATATGTCTTTGGATGTCTCAACAGTGTGGCCAAACACCTTTGATACCGAATGATCAATCTATTATACTTGTGGTACTCCGCAGTTTGACAGCATTACTGGTTTGTTTACAAATAGGGACAGTAAGACAACAAATTCTTCATGAACCTTGACCAAGAAAAGGATTCCAAATTAATGAGCCCGACGAATCAATCACGTTACTGATGGGAACACTGCTCCTTGAGAATAGCGAGTGACAATGGGCGAGGCTCACACAACCAAAATTTTTACCGCAACCTTCAGTGATAAGTGAAAATGCTGTTTATCTCGCGATGTGATTCAATATGCTAACCGCCCATAGTTGAAAGGCCTGTGAACTAATGGTAAGCAACGAAAGCCGGCAAACATCAAGCAAGGAAGGCCGCTAGCCTTAACGGCGCCATTTGCCGCTATCCTCTCACAACTTCAACCGTGCATTCCGCTCCATCTTCCTACAACTTTCCTCTTTGTTCTTTCCACCCAATTAAAGTTTTACCAAACTCATTTGCGGAAAATAAACATAGGAAACAGAAATATTGAAAAGAAGGTTTGGATGCACTTGTAAGGAAATGTTGAACAAACCTGTCTTTCAAAAACACAACCTGCATTGACCATAGCACCGGGTTGCTCAAACTGAGGAAAGCCTGGGTAGACATCGTTGCGCTTCTAAATTCATCACATTGGAAAACGAACAGACATGTACACAACTTCGGCTAACGGTTTCGGTTCGAGCACTGTGAATTAAACATCTGACTCTTACCTCTGGATCGAGAGTTATATTTTGATCGCAAGGGACCCGACGATCACTAGGATTTCTCTGATTTTCAGATGCACGTAAAGCTGTAAGGCTCGGCTTCTCTTCATGAAGAGTCATATTCGAATCTGAAACTTTCTCACTTGATTTGCAAAGACTGTGTTACAAACGCGATTCCAACACGACATACATAACTGTTAAGTAAGCGTTTCTAGGTTTGTTAGGACTTTTGTTTGATACAAATGGGACGGGCACCCGGGATTTTTGCACACGGTATGCGGAAATG